GCGCGCCGGTCCGTCCTCGTGTGCGCGTGTGGCCTGTCGCGCCGGTCGCACCTCTGGTGCCGGAGCTAACCACTAATCGCCGCTGGGGTCGGGCCGGCCGGCCGCGCGCTGACGGCACCCCGCCCCCGGCCAGGCCACGCAGCGCGAGACGGAGGAGCGCGCGCAGCGGCGCGCCGCTGAGCTGCGTGAACAGTGCGCCCTGGAGCAGCAGGCCAAGGCGCACCTGGAGGAGGCGCTGCGCACCGACCTCGAGGAGCGCGACGAGCTGGTCAAGCTGCTCAATATGAGGTAGCGGTCATCTTCCAGAGCGGGCGGCAGGCCGGCGCTGTAGCGGGGTGGGCCGTGGGACCGTCGGCTTTATCGGGAAGGGGTCCAACGATGACTAGTTTTGCAAGGCTAACGTTGAGAGTGTGAAGCAGGGAAGGCGATTGTAGATAGATGCAGATGACTGTAGCTTCCGAGCAGGCATGAACTAATTACACTAACAGCAGCTTTGTGTATGTCCGAGGCGTTTGGTGACCGCATGTGTGCGGCTATCAGCTGTCGCATGTCACACTTCACATCAGTCTTACAACGTTAATGCCGTGTCGACCTGGTGCGTTTTTAAAGGCACCCAAAATACAAGCAGCTCCGACCTGCTGTTTTCGCTGCGCCGATTTGTATCAGCTGTCCGCCAGCTGAGCGTGAGTCGCGCTCTCAGTGATGTGCCTGCCATCGATGCTCTGATGAGGGGCGGAGCCATGCAGAGCCAGTGGTGACGTGATGACTGGCGGTTGGTCGGCCGGTGGCGTGTTGTTTGGTGCCGGCCGGCTGTTGTGTTCAGTGTCGGCCGACTGTTGTTGCGTTGTTTGCTACCAGTCGGCTGTTGAAATATTTGTTGCCCGCTGGCCGTTGCCGTGTTGTTTGGTGCCGACCAGCTGTTGACGTGTTTTTGGTGCCGGCAGACTGTTGACATGTTTGGTGCCGGCGGCTGTTGGCGTGTTATTTGGTGCCGGCCGGTTGTTGTCGTGTTGCTTGGCGTGAGTTGCCTGGTGACGTGTTTGTCAGCTGCCTGACCGCGTGCGGTGCGTTTGCTCGGCTCCAGGTGCAGCTGCTGAAGGAGGGTCGGACGGAAGAGGAGCCGGCTCCGTCCCAGAATGGCTCCGACCAGGCCCCGACCCCGGCCTCTCCACCAGCCCCGTCCGCAGAGGCCGACCAGCTCAGAGGTACGGCACGGCCTCTGTAGGCGCCTGAGTCAGCGGAAGCTGGAGTACAGAAACTTGCTAGATGGCCGGCCAAAAGCATTGCTGCGGCCGGACAAACACTACTCATCGCTCGTTGCCTGGCTGCACCAATCATTGGACACAAACTGAGCAATGCTTCTGTCACCTGCACATTTCACAGCGCGAGAACTCAAAGAACGTGGGCGACCGTAGAGAGTCGCCTGGATTTTAAACATTTCTTGGCAGTGGCGAACGGTTGATGTTGCCGATGACTTATCCAATTCAGAAAGCTGGGAAACGTTTGTCGCTGATCGCGGCGTGCCCAGCTCTTACCCTGGCGTGGCTGTCGGTGGCCCTGATGGCTGCTGCACACAGTTAGTGGGCTTTCTTGGTCCTCTATCGGCCGGACTCGCGGTCAGATCGACTCGGCCCGTGTGCCGATGCCAGCGACCTCTCGTGCGGCACGTGTGTGGTCCGCGCTCTTCCACGCAGGGCTTGCCGGACAGGCTGACGCCACCATGACGTCAGCGGATTCGGGGTATGGCTGTGCCCGCTAGCGACGGTGATATTCCAGGGGAGTAGGACCTCTGCCCCCACCTATACGCCAATGTAGAATGGCGGCTTCCGTCCTAGGGTGATGGGCTGTGCAACTTAATGGCAATTGTAATCCATGACCTGTGGACAGATATGCTTCGGCGTGATATAACGAAATAATTTTTGTAATTAAATGTTCTGTGAAAAGTATTGTAACCAATGCCCCAGAGACTTTCTAAAATTGCTGTAATTGCTTCTAGCAGTCCTGGCAAACCTTAACCAAACGTATAGATTGCTGGGCAGATCAGGGTATCTTAGTAAAGTTATACTGCATAACATTTTCAGTTCTATGTTGACCGATACGGTCGTTAAGGCTACACGGATAGGCCATGCGGCTGCTGTCTGCCGCGGAGATCCCCATAGCCACGGTACACGACCTCCCAGCGACCTCTCCGCGAGCTCTGATCTGTTGTCCTGCGAAGTTGGCGGGTACTCTTACCCGGTACCCGGTACCTCCGCGAGCTCTGATCTGTTGCCCTGCGAAGTTGCGGTACCCTTACCCGGTACCCGGTACCTCCGCGAGCTCTGATCTGTTGTCCTGCGAAGTTGCGGTACCCTTGGTCTGGAACTTTTCATGAACAACATGTCGTGGGTCATGAAATGACGCTTGTTGTCATTAGTACAGATCAAATATCATCACTGCTACCAATCATCACGTCTTCTTGACAACCATAAGTTAGTGGCCAAGTTCCGTGAACCACTCCAAAAGTGCTGAGCAAAATTGGACCATTAGAACAGACAACATCACAGGCAACGAGCCTAGGCTTGATTACCGAGGGCGGGCTAGCCTTATTGAGTATCCATCGCGACGCTCCCTCAGCTAAAATGCGATTTCACTCCCCCAGTTTGTCATTGCGGTCAACCTTGTTAGATATTCCGATCATCCCTCATGTTCTATACTCATTTGCTGTGTTTGACAGTTCCTCCTAAATCATCGTGTTTTGTTAAGAAGTGGCGCATTTTACTTTCCGCATTCATCTTTCAAATACGGTGACTTGCTCTCACACTTCAAACGCCGGATGAACTCGGACGTTTTAATTCCTCTAAGTACACAATCATCTGTGTGAGACATAACACCGGCTCTGTCCTGTCAGCTCCAGGCCAACGCATGATACCGCTCTCAAAGCGCATGTCACAACACTGCTCTAGCTCTCCGGCGCTGGAAATGGAGGCTGGTTGTGCTCACTCTGCCGGAGCTCTTACTCTGAACTTTTGTATACGTGTCCTACACCTGTTCGTGAAATCTAATGCTCAATTTTTACTCTCGGATGTGTCTTATGGTGCTCTTAGTATTTGCGCTCATGCGACGGAAGTTAGTTCTTCGCGGCTGTTTGTGTTGGGTGTCCAACTGTTTGTGGAAGTTGATTACAATGCCCTTCTCTCAGTCCTCCTCGTTTTCCCCACGGATCCCTCGATGCCCTGGTCGGATGGTCGTGCGGGTCTGCTTCGGAGCTCGCCGTCCCGGGTCAGGACCCGCCTCCCTCCCTGCGACCGCGCTGCCGGGCTCCGCCGTGACCGCGCGTATTTGTGACGCGCTCGGGGTATAAATAACCACGGTGAGCGGCGGCGGCGGCGGCGGCGCGGCCGGACTGCCAGCTGGAGCGGGCGGCGCGGCGGCGCGATGGCGGGCATCGGGCGCAGTCTGTTCGTCCTGGGCCTGGCCGACGGCGTGCTCGTGTTCTGGATCCTGGTGCTCTTCTGGTACCGGTACCGCGTGCTGACGGCGCCGCCCGCCGCCGCTGACGACGACGACCTGCTGCTGGGCGAGCTCGAGTGACCGGCGGCGCTGCCGCGGGGTCATGGGCTAGGCGGACCGGCGCCGCGCGCCACGCCACGCTGCGGTACCGCGACTGGCCGCCGACACGTGCGCGGAGGAGCGGGTGCCGAGAACACGGCGGCGGCCGCCGCCGCTGCTCATGTGGTGTGCTGGGAACTGGTGGCGTGCGTGGACTAGACCGGCTTGTACTTCGCGGGAAGACGACGGGCCACGTGCTGAGGACATAGTGGTGCGTTTTCGGAGAGTGTGCTGAGGACAAGCGGCTGGTGTGGCTGAGAGGCCCGAGGTAAACAAGGCGCACAATGACCTGGCGCATGCGTGCTAGTGGTTGCTTGGACGCATGATCGAAAACGTATTTGGTTTGTGTGTGTAAGCATTAACTAATCTTATGTATTCAGAAAAAACGTTTTGCGTGACATGGACATGAACGGTGCCAACAATTTTTGGTAGGGCAGCACGAGGTCGTAAAACCGTACATCACGACACCTGATTTTTTTTTAAATGGGGGCACACTCATGTGCACAATAGCTGTCGTTTTCTTAGATTGTCATTCCTATGTACATTCATCACATTCCTCGCGTGCCTTGCGCTGCACGACAGTAAAGTATGGGGGCACTGGAACTGGGAGTGGGGGCAAGGACTGGGACCCGCCGCTTTCTGGAAGTTTAACACTACCTCTGTGACCGTGAGCTGCAAAGATATAATGTAAAAGGTTATTATTCCTTCTCCCCCCAACGTGGATGAACGCTTGTTGCACCATGCCGCCGGGGAAATCTGATAAAAGTTTCGTAGCTACTCAGCAATCAGCACATATTCCAGATCATGATCAGATCATGAATAAGTGTATAAACATTTGCTAGTTCAGTGACAAAAGCTTTGCATGACGATATTTCATGTCCGTTTACCCCGCAGCTGTGCTGTGGCTTAGACGCCCAATATCAAAACGTTTTGTTTGAAAAAATAATAGCAGTAAATCTGACCATTTATTACGGTGGCAATAAAAACATCCGAACGTCGTTTTGCTTGAGGATCACAGAGTTTCCATACTCCTTCCAGGTGTACATCACTACCGCCTATGGCGCAGTCCTAAGCACTGCCAAACGTTCTCCGTCTTGATGTGCTTTGATGGGCGAAAGCGGACTGCGGCATGAGCTGGATCCATTCGATCCAGGCGAAGGCTATGCACGTGACGCACTGCTGCCGCGTTGATCCTGCTCTGCACCGCCATTAAGCGAAGCAGGAGTTGTGAGCTCTGAGCTGGCGGTCGGGATCACAATAAGACAATCAAATTTGATGACTTCAGATATGGGTACCCGTGCGTTGCGCCTCGCGTTGCGGGGAATGGACAGCGAGGGAGGGAGGGGGGAGGGGGGGGGACGTACATTTGCCTCCTTGGCAAATGGCAGGAAAGCGGTTGCCCCGTGTCTGTCTGGTGGTGTCGCCCCTCAGCGTCTGCGTCAGTATGTGCAAGTTCTGCTCGACCAGGAACAATAATGTTGTTTGCTCAAATAGGAGACAGAAAGTATTGTAAGCTCTTCGGGCTACATGAGGGTACATGGTGCAATAGGATATGCTTAAAATGGATCATTTAATCATCATCATCATCAAGCACTATTAATTCATCTGAAAACGTATTTGTATCATCAAACGCAAAATGCATCTTAAATTATATGCTTTCATGCACAGTACGGATTTCAGTACCCATGTCCGACTGGTGGGGGACATTTGTTACCCTTTAAAGATTTTCTAGAGCGCTGTGAAAACAGCGAAGCAACGTAACCGGCATTTTAGGTACCATATCCTCAGGCAAGTAGCTAAAATCTTCGGTGGCAAGTGTCAAAGTGTCAAAGTTCCTTCGAAATCCTGAAAATTTGGAACAAAATTTGCGAAATTGCCCAATACCTAGTGTAAACCTTTCGGCTCAGGTGTCATGTTTCCGTTCGCCCCATCCTTGACTGCGTCCCAGAATTTCCGTCAATATTGCGCGCAAGCTGTCCGCAATTTTAACATCATCACAGGTCAGTTCATTGACATTGGCGAGCTCAGTTGACGTGATACCAAAACAACTTTTCATTATTGTCATGTAGTGGACTAATAACTCGTTTCTTAGTTCAATTATGCTATTTGCCACTGGTTTTATTATGTTAAATAAGCTTCGGGAATCGAGAGATATAAATTGCATTACGAATGTCTTATTGACAATGATGCGGAAACCATGGGCACAGTCACTCAGGGGCGATACCCTGAAGTTGGTTCATGCCAGTCCGCCCAGCCACTGCCGAAATACTCGCTGAAAACCATCCCGCTACAATCTACAAGGCAAAATAATTCTTAAATATGTAACAAAACCAGAAAAACAATGCAACACATAACGGGACCCTTCTGCATGTTCACTATATTTTTGCATACCTAAGCGAGCTATGAGGGTTCTGATTTTTGACGTTGATGTCTGGCCGACCTCGTCCAGTGTAGTAACCTGATTGGAAATTCAAAATGTTCCCGGTTACAAAAAGGATACATGCACACCATAAGCCACGCCAAAACTTTTCAAAAGACGATCGTTCAGAGATGCGATGCTGTTGGATTAGAATGTGGTTGAAACGGCTAAATTCATCAGTACTGTCCCTCAAATTATGATTCAAAATTGTCGTTTTTGGGGTAGCGATAGGTGAAGAAAGTATCTAATGATTCTATTATGCAAGGGACCTATATACAAAACGTTTTAAGGTGTGCAATGAGCAGAAAAGCTGCACAAAATTGCAGGCCGTGTCCCTTTGCGTTGTAATGTTAGTTATGCATTTTAGTACGTATAATGCAACTTAATATGAGTTCCACCTTATGCTTCAGACATGTCGGATATCCATAGCTTGTCGGCACATTGTGATTCAATGACCTGCTAATGGGGCTTGGAACTCTAGGTACAGAAGCTATTGAATGTTCTTGGCCAGTATAGGAGAATATTGCTGAGCGGTCGCGTTGAGTCCCACAAGCATCGCACTAGTATTTGTAGCAATGTTATTCTATTGATGTGAGGGTAGTTCATAGTGGTAAAAATTGGAAATAGGGGCTCCTCATTGAAATGATGTGTAAATAATATATTGACGCCTGCAAGAAAGATGTTATGATAGAGGGGACTGTCCTGTACAATCTGACCATAGAGGAGACGTCCCCCCCCCCCCCCCCCCCAACCTCCGGCTGCGCCACCGCTGGACGTGGGTGTCTTGGAGTGAGCTTGAGTTTCTACCGTTTCAATGAAGGGGCTGCTAGGGGGTGGCAAAAATGTCGCACTCTGGCCTTTGTCGTTTCACGACTTCCTCATGGCGCAAAGCATCATACATCGTTTCGACAAGCCTTTGGGAAAAATGCATGCTTTCTCGATTACAGGCAATGACTGGAGCCACAAGTCGCTTCCTAGACAAATTGATGGTAGTTGAAGTGGGAAAGTATTCCAGTTAAGTCTTTGGAAAGGCCGTTCTAAATGCAGTTCAAGACGTCTTCATATGTTTCGTAGTTTTTCTGTCAGTGCCTTCGTGGTCCTCTTTAGTATCCCCGTCACCTGATTTTCCACACGCTGATGTTTTGAGCTCCACACTGGCTGGTGCCCACGCGTCCTTCGACCAAGCGATAAGGCAGCCCCCCGTCCCTTACGTAGCGTGACGTGGCTCGTGTTCGGCCTCGAACCTGTCGGCCACCTCACCCGGTCACGGCTGCTGCAACCGTCCCGCCCTTGCGTTGCAGACAAGGTCAAGCATCTGGAGGAGCTGCTGACGAAGTGCAGGGAGAACATCAAGCTCAACAAGTCGCGCACGGCCACCCTGGTGGCGGAGAAGACGCAGCTGCAGACGCTGCTGACGGAGGAGAAGCGCCAGCTGGACGCGACCCAGGTACGCCCGGCCGCCGCCGCCGCCGCTGGTGATGGCGATGTTGACCGGCGACTTGGGGATGCGGTGAAGGCTGGGTCAGACTGCGCCCGCAAGACCGGTGTCGCGGGACCGAGTGGTTCCCCCTCGACTTGGACCTTCGCGGAGGCCGATGGAGTGATGTGTAGTTTGCGCAGATCAGAGCTGCTGAACAGATGAATTTTCCGCATCACGCGCTCGGGTAGAGAAATGCACAGTGAAATCAAGTATTCGAGGCTGCGGATAATCGCAAGCAACTGTGGGTGGACCCAACCTTTTGGTGGACGAAACTTCAAACGCTTTACTGTGTGGGATTTTTCCAAAAGATGTTTGTGTTACTGGCCTTAGAATAACGCTGTAATTATTGCATTTCAGATATTTGTAGTCCTTTTGGTTAAAAATCCCCACCACGCCCTTAGATCATCATGGAAGTGTTTTCCTACTGTCCAAACAATTTTAAAGGTCTTCATGGTCCATTCATCTGTAACGCCATGAGGACACTTTGCTGGAGTCCTTTAGGAGGATATTCTGCAGCCTTACTCGACAGATAAGGCACCGGCTCCGGAACTGTTCAGTACTTTACGTTTAGAAGTACTCTGTATTCAGAATCTATAGAAAAGCGAATTTGTGCCAGAATCTTGCCACGTGGATAGGATTTTATACGTTTTTCGCTGGTACCGTCGGCACACTGCGAGAGGTAGCACGGCAAGTAAAGGAAGCCGCGAGAGAAAGAGGTAGCGGATGGAGCCAGCATGACAAGCTCAAAGGTGTATTTCTCTGCACAGCAAATTAGGATACCACCTCCAACACCGCTTCTGCAAGTTTTTTGTGTCGGTAACGACAACGGAATAGCAACTGGAAGCTACAGATTGCGCACTATTCTCCACTGGGACCCGCCGATCCAAATCGAGCTTTTGGCGCGCGGCAGGCATGCTCCGAGTTCCCATTGTGTGGCACCGCGCCACCCTGGCTTCAGTTGTCAGGTAGTGGATAGGAGCCAGACCATGTCCATTCCCGACAGCTGCCCTCTCCCCCCACCCCGCGCCACTGCGCCACGATGGCTTCAGTTGTCAGGGGGTAGATAGGTGCCAGACCATGTCCATTCTCGACAGGTACTCCTGCCCCTCCCCAGCCTAAGCCCATTAAGCTTACCTGCTGCCATGACATCGGGCGGCTTATAACGAGCTCTCCAGAGCCGCAGAAGAGGTCTGATCACCCCGGCCACCATGCTCGGCATGCTGCGGAGGCCGCGCCGTGGTGTAGGCTACCGGACAGTGGATCGCCGATTCTGGCACCTTCGTGACAGCTGGAACGGGTGGCGGCATGCCCCGTGTCTGGCGCAGGCTCAACACTTGCGCCACCACATTAGATCATGTCAGTTTTTGAGACGCCGTCGCATGAGATGGAGTGACCACAGGTGTTCATGGGATGTGCTGTCAGACTGCAGTCCGTGGATACGGTAAACTGCGTCGAACGTGACGAAGGCGAGTTGTGGAAGCCGATGTGGAAGGGACAGCTTGAGGGCATGAAATTGTGCTTTGAGGTATAATCTCGGTCGCCAGAGTGGTATCTGAACATTGATGTAAGATTTTTTAAGGGCTGAATTGTTCGCCTTTAATGACCGTTTTACACCCACTCCGTCTCTATGACGAGGCACGTGGAATCATTTTTGGAATGAGGTTGACGTTGGCTCGTTAGCGGTCCGTCAGGGTGCCTTCTCGTCCAAAGTAAACGTATACGATCTCACCAGTTCTGTAGAACTGCGCGTGAGACCGTGACACCATTGCTGCCCACGGTCCGCCGGTGGTTTCAAGAGCAAGACACAGGTGACGCGGCCATTGACGGTTACCCGCGTAAAGACGTCCCCGGGCGCGCGTGCGCACGCATGGGACCCTCGGCCAAGCCAGTGGAAAATGGCCGGTCGGACAGATAACCGCCCAAGCAAAGCCACGATGGCAGCAGCTGTACAGAGGCTGTGGTAAGGAGACTAGTCAGACGCTGATTGGTCAACATCTGGGCACGGGAAAATGCGCAGCAACTGGGTTTGTCATGCGCTCACCACTAGGCAAAACAGGCGCGCATGGAAAATGAGAAGGAGCTTGTTCACTATCGACTCGACCGTCACGATTGATAAGATCTTGTTCGGATCCGTCTGTTGAAGGAGAGCAAGCAGCGGAAAAATATGACTCCATACCAGCTGATAATCGGCTTTGCGTACGGCAAACGTGTGTGCGGTGTTTTGGGATGCATCAACCCTGCGTAACTGTGAGCAGTAAGGTCAAGCATCAACTCCGGCATCAACTCCATCACGTCCGTTCGAGAAATGTTGCGCAGGATCTCCGCCGAACCTTTCAAGGACCGTGACAAAGCGTTCGTTCGGGCTGGGACAACTCACGATTCGCCGGGAGAGTACGGCCTCTTGGAGCCGCAAGGCATGGAAAGAATCCTTCTGGCCAGTGAAGCCCCAGCCGACTTCTTGTCTCCAAGACTGGAGAAGCTGCTGCGTGGTCGCAGTTCTCCTTGATGGGGGAGCTGTAGGTATCTGCGCACATCGCGCCCGCGCGCCCGCGCGTCCAATCTGACTTCGAGCGATGACACCTGTCACGGAGCGGGTTGGCGAAGTGTGCGGAGATAGGACAAAATACGCGAAAAGTTTCGTTTTTGTTGTCCTTGGGCTCAGCTGAGACTTTTTGGCTGTGCAGTTTACTAGGCGTTATTCATTGCGGTTTGCCGTAGTATGTTCCCTTGTTGCTGGCAGTGCATGGAAAGCTGTATCACTGAACCGATTCTCGATTGGGTAAGGAGGCCCGCTTCCTGACTCGACCTGAATCGGTTGCGTCTGCTCCGTCCTCGCTGGATCGAGGTGTCCGTTGGATTACGGGAAATCAAGGTGTGGAGACAGTGACGGGATGTTTGCGCTGGGAGCGCCGCGCCGCCGAACTTCGCTCTGCTTATGCCGCTGTAGTGTGCGCGGCCGTGGCAGCGTGGTGGTTGTCATTTTGATGGGTGATGCAGTTCCTTCTGTAGGCCCCACGGAAGTGTGACGGTGCATGCATATTTGCATCTGCACATAAGATTTTGGCCAAGATAAAACAGAGCACCAAAATAGTGAATGTTGAGCATGAGCACGCGCAAAGGCAGGCATCCACAGGTAACACCGCCCAACGCAGATACCTATAAGGCGGTGGTTTGGGGTTTAGGGGGCATTGACATCAAGACAATTTTGTGCCTTCAGGATAGCCATGAGGGAACTGGCAGCTTAGCGAGGAAAGTTAGGGCATTCACCGGCTATCCTGTGCAAAAGAAGCAGCCATATTCCGGGTCTTCGCGCCTGGTATTAAAACCATGCTGTGTCCACTATTTGGCGTGCGCCAAAGCGTCAGCAACCTCATCCACAGTTCTTTCCACGAAGCGTGAGACGATTTACTGAAGCTGTTGAACTCTATAGTTTAACGTGGAAGCACGCACGCTTGCAGTCCGTGACATGAACGCGGTGTCGAACGTCGCATCCGCATTCAAGAGTCTGCAACTCTTCCGAATAACTTCCGTGTGCCTGGCCTGGTCTTCTGTCTGACCTTGGCGTAGCCATCCGTCTGACCTTGGCCGGTTTTCTAATGGCCCGGTGACAGATGGTCTATGGATGGCGTGCGCTATCTCCTAGCGGTGTCACGGCGGCTGGGCGGGGCGTGGACAGGGCGGTGGCGCGTGCCACCGACGGCCGGACGCCGTCGCCCTGCCAAATCAGGCGGCCCCAAACTGCCGATGGCCAACGTCACCTCGACGCTTGGCTGGGAGTCCGAGCCTCGGTGGCCGACGTCCGAGGCGAACGCTAGTGCGGGGACGTGTGTCGAGTGACGAGGGCGCGTGGCGGGACGCGCGCGTCGGCGTCAGGGGAGCGGGCGCGGGACCACCGCGGAGGAGTCCGGCCGGCGCCATGGAGGAGCCCGAGGGGGGCCCCAGCGGGCCGCGGGGGCCGAGCCCACCCGGGGGTGGAGAACCCGCTGAGACGCCGGCACAGGCCGAGCCAGAGGCCGCGCCCGCCGCCGACTCCGCCGAGCCGGTGCCCAAGAAAAAGAGGGTCGTCAAGAAGGTGGTGGTGCGCAAGAAGAAGGTGCCGGCCAAGGAGGTGCGGCCGGCGACGCCGGAGCCGTCGCGGGCCGAGCCGCCGCCTGCCGACTCACCGCCCGCCGGGCCGCCGCCGCCGGCCGAGCCGCGGCCCTCGGCGCAGCAGGTGACCGAGGAGATCCGGCTGCGCATCCTGGACACGGCCGAGGCGCGTCAGATGCTGGAGCGGGTGCGCAGCGAGCGCGAGGCGGCGCCGCCGGCCGCGCCGCACTACCAGTGCCTGCCGGCGGACTGGCCGCTGCCGGCGCCGTCCGACCACGGCGCCTTGCAGGTACTACGCTACACTTCCAGACGCGACAGCACCAGGGTAATCACGCCGGTCGGCCGGCGCCGCCCGGGTCGGGGCGAGAGGCGCGCTGCGGTGACGTCCTGCAGGAGACACTTTCGGTCGCTAGTCTGCTCGTCTAGTCTGCTCTAGTCTGCTCTAGTCTGCTTTTCTCTGCTCTTATCTGCTCTAGTCTGTTCAGTTTTATCGTGAATAGTCTGAGATTACTTATGTGGTGTTAAAAGCCGTTTGGTGGCACTACGAGGTTTATGAGGATAGTAGACTACACATTTCAGGCAAAGAGGGCAATGCATGAAAGGGCTTTTATGTGTTGCAGATATTCGTCGTTGGGGATGCACTGATTTGCTTGCATCTGCTTTCTCATGTCGACTACACCACTGGTGGAAAAACTAGGCGAGCCGGCCATAGCAGCGGGTTTCTGAACCCGAGCCTATTTAGAGCAGGAATCTGTAATATTCGTACCACATTTCGTGCCAATAAGCGAAGAAAATGTAATTGGTTTGGCAACTCTTCCTCGCTTTTTGTTTCTTCCATATTATTTTAGATCCCTGACGCATTTGACAATAGGCGTGGGGCTAATGAGGTTGACTGGCTTTGCGGCGTGAGTTTTGGCTGTCTCGTTGTCATCCAGGATCTATTAATACCCTACAATAGCCCTCATGTGGATTCCCAACCATTTCGACATTCTGAGCAATAAAGAACAGGCGCTGCTGCTAGAGCAACCATGTGCTGAGGTCGCCGCTTTTCCATTCAACTGCGGCTGGTGACCTGAAGTCAATAGGTGCGAATTACACGTATCCATGTTCTGTGGCAGCAGAAGATTGATGAACTTGTTCAACCATCCAGAACTTTGGAATCACTTCTTGGTGAGTGAAAATTCCCTCGCCGTGTGGAATAGGCGTGAAGAGGGGGCGCTGGCTTCGACTGAGACACATCTTCGCCACACATTCCCTCATCCATCGGGTCGGAACACGCTACAGGATGGGCAGTGTGACCAATGTTCGACCCTTGAGCATGCGCTCGTGTCGTGTCATCGCTGTGTGGCTTATCGCAGGCGTCATTTCGCCCTCATGCCTCTTCCGGGGCCTTTGTATTGTGACTCATGCTCTGACGCACTTTTCGTGTTTAAGACTTCTTAACACACATCGATTTCGGCATTATTTATGTTCTCCAGCTGTGTTCGCACGTAAATTTAGTTGTTGTTTTTTGTAACAGATAACCGGCAGTGTTGACTGGGTAGGATGGTGATGTCCGTTTTCGGAAGGGCTCAGAATGGGCACGTCGTCGATGCGCCCTAAACCTGAAATATCACCATTTTACCTCCCTGACCTGTTGTCCACGTGCTCGCCAAACATCCCGTACCGTCTGTGATCCTTGGCCCTGCTAGGTCCTCACCCGGCTCCATGTGTGTGATGCGATGTATGTCCCCCTGCCGTCCCGATCTGTCTTCCCTGACCTGCTGTCCCTGCGCCGCCGCTCCTGGCCGGCCGCCCGTGACCCTCCGCCATCCCTGACCCTGTGCCGCGGCCACCGCCAGCAGCTCACATCTCTGGCACTGGCGGAACGCCGTGTTTTCGTGGACCGCTGCCAGCAGAAACAAGGCCGACTTGTCGGGCGGTGGGCGGTCGAGTCTCCGCACCGAGCCTCACCCCGGAACTGGCTCAGACGCTCGGCCCGATGATCGCGGCCCACTGTTGCGACGTTGATGCTCGGGCTGGGGTCTCTGTGCTGCACACGGCTGTGACGTCACCGTTTGTGCGCGGTGCTGTCAGCGGCGGATCTCTGGAATGGTTTGGCAGCGGCCGCGGTAGTTCGGCCGCCGGCCGCTAGTGGCGCTGGTGGCCCGTGCGCGAGTTCTGCCTTTCATGATCGGAGATGAAAGCAGAGGGCCCAAATGGCCTATTCGGCCAGTCTCGATGCCAGGAGCTATTGCTGTAGGCTGAAGCACACGGACCACAGTTTAGGTTTGTGTTGATCGACCGGTTAATGCATAATTGACGCAGAAGGACAGGGTTGGCGAGACCTCGATTCAGTGTACAAAAAAAACGAACAATTCGAGGAAACCAGCGAATGGTCGACAAGGAAGTATTCACGCTTACAAGTATTCGCGTCCAGTGCATAGACTACCGACCGATGATAGCTATCGCATGGACCCCGTAAACAGAAGTCATGAATACAGGAGCTGACTCAGGCCGTCTCCAACTTCATGGGCAGGCTGTCATCACGGCGTTACAGGAAGAATACAAACTCATAATGAGGGACGCTGGTCGTCAGCGCCGATGGGGGGGGGGGGGGGCGCCGCTCTCAGCGCCAGACCCATCGGCACTCTGTGTGTCAGTGATGCAGCACGGCTGTAGCTCGGGGCGTCTGTGTATCAGTGATCCAGCACGGCTGTAGCTCGGGTCGTCTGTGTGTCAGTGATGCAGCAGCGGCTGTAGCTCGGGTCGTCCGCCGTCGACAGGAGGCGCACAAGAGCGAGTTGGAGCGGCTGGAGGCGATCGTGGGGGAGCTGCGCCGCACCATGGCCTCCACGCAGCACCAGGCGCAGGAGAACGCCATGAGCACCGCCGAGCAGAAGGCCCAGATGCACCAGGAGCTCGAGCAGAAGGAGACCCAGGTCGGTACTCGGTGCCTTCACAGCTCGGTGCCCGGGACACCGGCATTGGCACACCAGTGCTTCCCCGGCGCGCAGCCTTTACCGATAGCGGGCGGCGCTGAGGCAGCTCGCCTGATTCTCAGCTCGCAAGGTCAGCAGGCAGCTCGCCTGATGATACTTGTAGTCAAATCATTTAAGTGCTCAGGCAATTTTTAAACGTCTGCTTAAGTGGGTCGACGATTTCTGTACTGTCGTCCGCTAAATATAGATGCCACATTTTTGGTAGGATGGCATTTTTGGATACTTGTAAGGCAGGCATGGGAGCAATGAACCCATTTTCATTTTGTCCGAATGTCTTGTCATTCCTAGCTACTTTTGTGAAGCTGTTTAATATGAATCAGTGCTCACCCACATGCATGCGTAGGGTAAGAGTTATGTTTCCCTATGGAACCGACTTCGTAGATCCCATTCTTTCATAGCATCTCCACGGCTTAACAAGTTGTCGTGGGTCTTTGTCAACAAATTGTCTAATCGTGACATTGAAATATAGATATTGGATTGGTGAGTTACGACTGGTTAATTTCACGATTTCTTTTGCCGAGCGTAGGTGGTACAGATGCCCGGGTGATGTTTCTTTGTCCTTTTCCGGATGATCCTGTTTAAATGGCCGGTGAAGTCCCCTGTGACCGCTTAAGCGGCGGGGGGGGGGGGGGGGGCGTCTGCAGCCACCTCCTCTGTGGTGCTTCGTTTTATGGCCGACCTGAGCTGTACCGCCCAGGCCACGCTGGTTCAGGTGTTCTTAGTGAGCCCGGTGCTAGGTGTGTGCCCCCGCGCCTGAAAACCTTGGTAGAGCTTCAGTGGCATCATATCTTTTGACGCAAGTGATGACTATCGTTTTCAGGTTAAACGCCTACAGGACGAGACAGAATCCAAACGAAAGTCGCTGGAGCAGCTACAAACACGAGGTGAGGAGTAAATACTGTAACGGGGCGCTTGGCGGCGTCAGTTGACAAACACTTCTTTTTAACACGGCTTGTTATATTTTGATGTTGTTTCTGTATATACGTATATATATATATATATAATATAATATAATATAATATAATATTATGCCATGTTGCCCGAGAAATGTATGATTGAAGCATAGTATTTTATAAGTTTCATATTTTTCAGCCACGTGACAAAAATAAATGAGTCGGAAGCCAAACTAGTGCTCAGGCGTTCTGTCCGAGCGCTTCGCTCCTGTTTTCAGTTTAGGAGCGGGCACCTGGAACAAAGTTATTCTCAAACGGAGACCTCTGAAGTACGGTCTTCTGTCCTAAACATTTGACAAAATGCCCTCATCACCCCCAGGAATGTTCATAACCCTCACAGTGTTGTTCACGTGGTCTCTGCTGGCATCGTCTCGCCCATCCTCCAAATGATGCATCCTGTCGTGGAGTGATAAATAATTCATATCATTTCGCACACTACACTACATGAGGGCTGACACACGGCCTGTTGGGGGGGGGGGGGGGGGCCGTTGCGCCCACACTGTTTTCCTGGCATCTGATGGTGGGTTAACATTGCAGTTGCCGCCCTCGAAACTGAAACGACTCAGCTGCGCGACACGCACAAGCGGCAGCTGGAGGAGCTGGAGCGCCTGTCGGAGGAGGAGAAGGCCGGCCTGGTCCAGGTGCGTGACACACGGGCCCGCTGTCGGCGCCACGGCTCCCCGGGTCAAGCCGGGGCACGCGGCTGCGCTGTGTCTTCGTCATACCGTTACTGTCCGCCGCAGCTCCCCGGGTCAAGCCGAGGGCACGCGGCTGCGCTGTGTCCTCGTCATACCGTGTGACTGTCCACCGCAGCTCCCCGGGTCAAGCCGGGGCACGCGGCTGCGCTGTGTCTTCGTCATGCCGTGACCGTCTGCCCACGCAGTCGGACCAGCGGAATGTTTGTTTCGGCGGAGCGACGCCAAATGCAGGCGGATCGGTGGGTCTGGCACGGGCCGCCCTGACCAGAGCCGCCACGCCTGTTGTCAGGACAAACTCCGGCCTGCCCTGCCTGTGCCGGCAGCTGTCCGTGCTGCGGGGACAGGGGACCTGTGGTGTCGCGTCCCGCCCTCGTCTCGCCGCCATTCTGGCCGGATCGAAGCCACTTGTTGGCCGCCGGCCACGCGCCGCCTAAATTAGCGGAGAGGCTGCCGTCCGAGGCCGCCGGGATCGAGTCAACCGTCCCCCCCCCCCCCCCCCCCCCTGTGTCCGGCGTCCCTGACCGCCCCCGGTCTGAGCCGGGGACAGGAACGCGACTCTGGGAGCACGACCATGCGACAGCGGGAAATCTGGCTGGAGCGAATCATGACTGGGTCACGATGCCCCATGTGTACGACGTTGCTCGATGGCGTGGGCTGTGACCAGCTCCGGTAAAAGTGTTCGGTGGCGTTGCTTCATCAGCGCAGGTCCTGGTCACAACGCCACAGTGTCGTGAGATCGACTCTAGGCACGCCTGTGTCTGGACGGCGTAACCAAGCTCGTCGTGACCGATGACTGGACTCAACATGCACGCGACGTACGACTGAAATTGTGGCCGTCTTTCATCTATTTTGCCTTCGCATTGCGCTAGCCTCACTTCTGTGTTGCCATTCGGTACGCGCGCGCAGCCGTGCTGTTCCCCTGCGGAAAGGGCGTACAACCACTCCCATATGTGTGCTGTAATTCTTTACTGGAATACCATTAATCGTGCTTCAAGCTGGCCTGTAAGTGCAGTTGTGATGGCTAACGCGACCTCAGACATATCAGAAGTGTCTCGAAGTGACCACTTGTCCGCCGCAGGAGCTGTCACGCGCGAAGCAAGAGGCGCTGCGCGTGCTGGAGCAGGAGCTGGAGTCGCGGCTGGCCGAGGAGTGGGGCCGCCGGCTGCACCTGCGCGAGGAGGAGCTGCGCGCCGAGATTCGCGAGAAGGAGAGCCAGCTGGAGCTGGCGGCCGAGGAGCAGCAGCTGGCGGCCAGCGCCGCCGCCGCCGGCGGACACCAGACGGCCCAGCGGGCGGAGCTCATAGTACGTGAGCCGCGGCGATGTCGGCCGATGCACGGCCGGAGGGAAGCGGAGGGGCGTGTCTGTCAGCTGGCCACGCGTCGTGGCGGTGGTGGTAGCGCGCGTGAAACGTCACACCACACGGAGGGCCAAGCTCAGCGTGTCTGGGTGCGTGGGGCGGCGTAGTGGGGACTTGTGGCGGCGCCCAAAGGAGCGCACCGTTCTTGACGCATTGCCTGTCCGTTGCAGGCCGGGGCCGGGAGCTTTGGTTAGAGTCGCTGTCCTTCGTTGCAGGACACCATCGACGGTCTGCGCACCGACCAGATGGCGCTGGAGTCGCGGCTGCAGGGCTGCCAGCAGGCGCAGGCGCAGGCCGAGGCCCGACTGGAGCAGGCGCAGGTGCAGATGGAGGAGGCTCGGAAGGAGGCCGAGGCTCGGATTGAAGAGGCTCGGAAGAAGGTCGAGGCTCGGATGGAAGAGGCTCGGAAAGAGGCCGAGGCTCAGGTGGAGGAGGCCCGAAAGGAGGTCGAGGCTCGTGTGGAGGGGGCTCGCAGCTCGGCTCTGGAGGAGGCTCGGAAGGAGGCTGAGGCTCGGGTGGAAGAGGCTCGGAAAGAGGCCGAGGCTCAGGTGGAGGAGGCTCGGAAGGGAGTCGAGACGCGACTTGAAGAGGCTCGGGTGGGGGAGGCTCGCAGCTCGGCTCTGGAGGAGGCACGGAAGGAGGCTGAGGCTCGCATGGAAGAGGCGCGGAAGGAGGCTGAGGCTCGGGTGCAAGAGGCGCGAAAGGAGGCCGACGCCCGGGTGGAGGAGTTGGACCGGCAGCGGCAGGCGGCTGTGGAGGAGTTGGACCGGCAGCGCCAGGCAGCTGTGGAGCTGTCGCTCCAGACTTCCAGCCAGGAGAACAGGTGACCGGCATGCGTGGCCATGTCCGCTACAGCTGAGGGGTTAGGGGTGGACGGGGGAGGGGGTGGCGTGCATTGGGATGTGGCGCCCTGTTCCCCACTGCTCTTCATGGTGGGAATGGATAGGAACAATCGTATCCCAATTGTTACTCGTCACGGAGCCCCGATGAACCACGTCCTGAGATGTTGGAACGATATTGGATGGAAGCTCTCGTTATTCACATATCTTGTAGCGAGACTCGGTAACGTAAAGTATTCCATGTCTCTTGTGCGTTAAGAAATCAGTTATTGGAGCAACTAGTATCACGAGTGTCTGTGCCGTAATGTTGACACATTCCGTACGTACCAGGCCTGTCCCCACTGACCAGTGCCCTGCGCCGCCAGTGCCAGGCTGGAATCTCAGGCGCAGGCGGACGAGCTGCAGCGCCGTCTGACCAGCCTGAGCGAGGAGCAGGCTGCCACGCTGGCCGAGCTGGAGGCGGAGCGCGGCCGCGGCGCCGCTGACCGCCAGGAGCGCCAGCAGCTGCAGCTGCGCACCGAGAAGCTGTCGGGCGTGGTGCGCTCGCTCGAGGAGAGCCTGCGCGAGCTGACTGAGCAGTGTGGCCGCGACGCAGAGGTCCGCGCCGCCGCCGCCGCCGCCACGGCCGCTACGCCCGCCGCGCCCGCTGGCAGCCAGCTGGATGAGCTGACCACGCTGCTGGACGACAACGCGGCGCGGCTGGCCGGCGTCACTGAGGAGGTGGGCGCGCTGCGGCTGGCCAAGCAGCAGCTGGAGGAGAAGGTGGCGGCGCTGTCGGCGGACGCCGACGGCCGGCTGGCGGCCGCCGACGCGGCGCGCGCCGCCTCCGAGCAGGCGCTGGCGGCGCGCGAGGCGGAGCTGGCGGCGCTGCAGCAGCGGGCCGAGCAGGCCGAGGCGGACGTCGGGCGGCTGCGCGCCGAGGCGGCGGCGCTGGCCGAGGAGAAGGACGGCGCCCGCGGCGAAGCTGAGGCGCTGCGCACGGCGCGCACGGACCTGGACGACGCACTGCGCACGGCGCGCAGCGAGCTCGAGTCGACGGTAAGCGACATCAGCGACTTTGACGAGGTGTCCGAGGGTTACAGGACCGAGGTGCGCCGGCTGACGGCCGAGCTGGAGCGGCTGCAGGCGCAGGCTGCACCAGGCGCAGGCTGAGCGCCAGCGCGCCGATGAGCTGCACGAGTCCAACGAGAGGCTGGCGGCACGCCTCTTCCAGATGGAGAAGATCGCGCTGCGCGTCGAGCTGGCGGAGAACGAGAACGAAAACCTGAAGAGCGAGCTGGCGTACGAGCGCGAGCGCGGCAAGAAGCAGCGCGACCGTGTCAAGCAGCTCAAGAGCTTGCACGAGGTGACCAAGGACGAGGTGAGCGGTATGCAGGCCGACTTCAGTCTCGTGCACGATGAGATGGGCAAGATCCGCGCCACGCTGACGGCGCGGCTGGAGCGCGTGCAGGAGCAGAACCGCTCGCTGGAGCTTCTACAGTCCAAGCTGGATCAGGCGATGCGCGAAAAGAGCGCGCTCAAGGAGCAGCTGGAGAGCGGCATCGAGCGCAAAGAGCGTGAGCAGGCGCAGATGCTACAGGCGCTGGACAAGCTGGGAAACGAGATCGAGACGTACAAGACGGAGTGTCGCGGCCTGGGGGGCGGCGGCCCACTGGCGGAGGCGGGCGCCGCGGACGGCGCAGGGGACGCGGTCGACGGCGTCGACACATCGTCACCGGAGGGCAGCGAGGCCGGCGAGGACCAGGTGGTGGCGCTGCGCCAGGAGGTGGGCGGCTTGCAGAAGGTGTCGGAGACGTACCGCCTTCAGATGGCCGGCCTTCAGGCCGAGGTGGAGGAGGCGGCGCGACAGCGTCAGCTGCTCGAGCTGGAGAAGAAGTGCCTGCAGGACCGGCTGCAGCAGCAGCTGCGCGACAAGGAAGACGTGTCGCTCAAGATGGACGCGCTATGTTCCGACACGAACTCAGTGCTCGTGCAGCTGCGCGAGGAGAACGGCCAGCTGCGGGCGCGCGCCGAGGCCGAGCAGGCGCGCAGTGCACAGCTGGCTGCCCAGCTGGCGGAGGTCGAGCGCGACCATAAGCAGGTGAGCCGCCAGATCGAGGACGCCGGCCTGGAGAAGGACACGCTGGCGACGCGCATCGCCCTGTTCAAGACCCAGCTGAAGGAGCAGGCCGAACTGATCGACTGCTACAAGTACGAGGTGGGGACGCTGAAGCAGAACTACGACAACCTCGACTCGGAGGTGAAGCGGCAGGAGGAGCTGGCGACCTCGCTGCGAGCCATCAACGAGGAGATCGATAGGAAGTTGAGCGCCGAAAAAGAGCTTAAAAAAAACTTCGAGGACAAACTCAGTCAGAAGCTGACAGAAATGGCGCAGCTTCAAGCTAGTCATGACGCGCTCAGGGGTAAGAATGCGTGCTTAGAGGAGCAGTTAGCGAGTGCGAGTGTTGAGTCTGAAGTCCCTCCCTTAGTTAAAGTGCTGCGGGGGGAGAAGGAGGCGTTGTCAAGCCAGCTGGAGGGCTGTGAGGAGCGGTGGCGGGCCGCGTCTGCCGAGCTGCTGCTCCAGCAGACGCGTCTGCACGAGTCAGAGCGGCAGAACGCTGACTGCCAGCGTCAGGTGGAGTCCGTGACGCAGCTGAAGGAGGTGCTGGAGACACGCTGCTCGGAGGCGGAGCAGGAGGCGGCTGCGCTGAAGAAGAAGCTGGAGGAGGCCCACGTGGAGATGATTCATCTCAAGGCGCTGCAGAGCGCGTCCGAGGACAGGGTGGAGAAGCTGACGCAGGACGTTCTGAACCAGGCATCTGGGCTGGCGCTGCAGGACGAGGTAATCGTGGAGAAAGGCAGGGAGCTGACCGAGCTCACTGTCAAGTCTCTGGACCAGGCTGCTGAGAACGCCGGTGTTCGCGGCTCGCCGCCCCTGCAGGGCGTCCAGGCGGAGACGCAGACAGAGACACAGGCTGAACCGCAAAGCCAGACGGAGACGCCGCTGGCGCCGCTCGCCGCCGAGGGGCGGCCGCGGGAGCCGGAGACCCAGGGAGGCGGCGGCCGGGCGGATGCCGAGCCGGACCCCCAGCAGGAGCTGGCCGGCCTGCGGCGCTCGGTCCACCTGCTGGAGCTGGAGCGCAGCCGACTGAACGCCGAGTTCGAGGCGCTGCAGCTGGTGTACGAGAATACGTCCATGACGCTGGAGGCCAGCTCTGAGCGGCTCAAGCGCGCGGAGGACGACCGGGCGCACCTGCGCCGCGTGGTGGACAACCAGCGCGACGAGCTGGCTGGCAAGAGCGAGGAGTTCGAGGAGCGGCTGCAGGAGTACCTGCGCGAGATCACCAACAAGAACGAGGAGATCACCGTCTTCCTGACCGAGCTGAAGCAGAACCAGGACGAGATGGACGACGCCAAGGCGAGCGTCGGCCAGCTGCAGGACATCATCCGCACCAAGGAGAGCACGCTGCGCACGCTCAGCGCCGAGCTGGCCACCGCCAAGAGTCGGGCGCAGACGCAGAACGAGCGCTTCCTGGCGCGCGAGGCCGAGCTCACGCGCAAGCTGCAGGAGGAGAAGGAGATGTTCATCAGCCAGCTGACGGAGGTGCGCGAGACGATGCGCTCCTCCATCGGCACCATGCAGGCCAAGATCCAGCAGCTGAACGAGCTGCTCAAGAGCCAGGATCTGAAGCACCACGTGGAGCTGAGCCGCGTGCGCTGCGAGTACGAGCAGCAGCTGGACGAGCTGCAGCAGGCGCTGGCGGGCGTGCGCAGCCAGTGCGAGCTGGCCATCGACGAGCTGATCTCATCGCACCGGAGCCAGCTGGACGAGCTGGCCGGCCGGCTGGAGGAGACGCGGCGCGAGCTGGAGCAGCTGGCCGGCCGCCGCCAGCAGGACTGGGACGCGGCGCAGGCCGAGGCGCTCCAGCGGCTGGCCGCCGTTACCGGCGAGCACCAGCAGGCCGTGACGCGCCTGCAGGCGGACCACGAGGCGCGCGTGCTGCGCCTGCGACAGGCGTACGAGCAGCGCGTACAGCAGCTGAGCAGCCGGACGGAGGAGGGCCGCGCGAGCTATCAGCGCAGCCTGGCGTCGGCCGAGCACCGGCTGCTGGCGCTGGAGGCCGAGCTGGAGGAGGCGCGCCAGACGCACCAGCGCAGCGAGCGCGCCCTGGCCGAGGAGCACCGCGAGGAGCTGGCGGCGCTGGTGCGCAGCCAGAGCTACCGGGCCGATTCGACGCCCGAGGTCAGTGGCCGGGTCGAGCCAGGCCGCCGCCGGCGAGCTGGACTAACTGCACGGGACGGCGCACCTGCCGACTGCCGCCGCCGCCGCCGCCGCTGCGGCCGTCCTGCATCGGCGGTCGGCGCGCTACTCCACCTCTGGAAGCGGAACGGAGTTTAGCTAGTGATGCACCGCCGCCACGGCTGCTGTGTGGAGTTTAGACATTGCCACTGCACCAGTCTGGTTGCAGTGGAGTGTGGAGGCTGCTCCTGTCCCGCTCGTCAGCAGCAACTGAGTGACGTCCAACCAGCAGTGTGACCTCAACAGCGTCACGCGGAACGTGACCCGAGCGGCACCTGCCCGAGGAGTGTAACCCCGAGTTGAAGTCAACCCAACCGAGTGTGGCCCTTGTAGAATCGATCCACCGAATGTAGCCCTGACAATATCTGCCGACGTAGTGCTGCCCTAGATTACCAACTCACCGTGTGTTACTAACGACATCGTCTCGTCGAATGTGACAGCTGTAGAGAAGCGACTGGGAGGTCTCCAGAGGAATGGAAGTGTGTTGGATCTGTCCCGTTTGAGCTTTGTTTGACGTTTGTGTGCACTAACCGCCGTGTTGACGGATCTCATGACTGATGGGCCTTGTGGTTTGTATGCGGAGACGTCAGGAGATGCCCTGCGCGCCTGATAACTATGCTGGCTATGCCTCTGTCCCGTTATCATGCAGTCTTTGGCGCTGATTTTGAACTAGTCTGCAGTTTATTTTGTTGGAGCAGAGAGTTGCAGTGGCATTGTGGATGGTTCACTGCTTTGGCACCAAAGGACACTCACTGGCATACTCAAACTCTGGACGTCATGTTTCATTTATCGGGCAAGCCACTTTTGAAGCAGTACGTTTTCTCCTGTATTTAATGTTTTGTTCGTTTACCATCTAAACTATAAGCTCACCAACAATGCACTTTGTTTGACTTCGTCCACTGCTGGTGTACTGACGCCGTGCCGTGCTGTGCCCGCCCCGCAGAGGGAGGAGTGCCTAGAGAAGTCGGACGAGATCCGGCGACTGGAGGCGTCGGCCGCCGCGCTGCACGCGCGAGTTGGCCGCGCCGAGGAGGCCGACGGCCAGCGGCAGGCGCAGCTGGCTGATCTCCAGGCCGCTGCCGATCAGCTGCAGACCAGGTTAGTGGAGGCGGAGCGCGGCGCCAGCCTGCTGCGCGCAGAAGCGGACGTGCAGGCCGAGCGGGCGCGCCAGCTGGCCGCCGCCCTGGAGACGGCCGAGGAGGCGGCGCGACAGGCGGACGAGCGGCTGGCAGAAGAGCAGAGCCGGGCAGAGCAGCTCCGGGGAACGCTGGAGGAGGCACAGAAGGACACGGAGGGCCTCGGAGCTAAGCTGGAGGAAAGACAGCAGGACACGGAGGGGCTCCGAACCAAACTGGAGGAGGGCCAGAAAGAAACGGAGGGGCTCCGAGCCAAACTGGAGGAGGGGCAGAAAGAAACAGAGGGGCTCCGAGCCAAACTGGAGGAGGGGCAGAAAGAAACGGAGGGGCTCCGAGCCAAACTGGAGGAGGGGCAGAAAGAAACGGAAGGACTCCAAGCTAAACTGGAGGAGGGGCAGAAAGAAACGGAGGGGCTCCGAGCCAAACTGGAGGAGGGGCAGAAAGAAACGGAGGGGCTCCGAGCCAAACTGGAGGAGAGGCAGAAAGAAACGGAAGGGCTCCGAGCCAAACTGGAGGAGGGACAGAAAGAAACGGAGGGACTCCGAGCCAAACTGGATGAGGGGCAGAAAGAAACGGAGGGACTCAGAGCCAAACTGGATGAGGGGCAGAAAGAAACGGAGGGGCTCCGAGCCAAACTGGAGGAGGGGCAGAACGAAACGGAAGGGCTCCGAGCCAAACTGGAGGAGGGGCAGAACGAAACGGAAGGGCTCCGAGCCAAACTGGAGGAGGGACAGAAAGAAACGGAGGGGCTCCGAGCCAAACTGGAGGAGGGGCAGCAAGAAACGGAGGGGCTCCGAGCGAAACTGGAGGAGGGGCAGAAAGAAACGGAGGGACTCCGAGCCAAACTGGAGGAGGGGCAGAAAGAAACGGAGGGGCTCCGAGCCAAACTGGAGGAGGGACAACAAGAAACGGAGGGGCTCCGAGCTAAACTGGAGAATAGCCAACAGGAGGTGGAGGGTCTTCGATCCAAACTGGAGGAGGGGCAGCAGGAGGTGGCGAAGGCCGGAGGCAAACTGGAGGGGGCGCAACAGACGATGGAGGAACTCCGAAAGAAATTGGAGCAGGAACAAAGTGAGACGGAGGTGCTCCGAGCTGAATTAAAGAACGCTGAGGGGCTTCGGGCCGAGCTGGAGGGAGCAGAAGGTAAGATAAAGGGACTGCAGGCCCAGATGGAGGAGGCACAAAGCGCTTTGGTAGACTACCGAACCAAATTGGAGCAGGCACAAAGGGAATCTGAGGAGCTCGGAGCCAAACTTGAGCAGGCGCAGCACGATTCCAATGGACTCCGGGTCCAATTAGAAGAGGCAGAGGGCCTGCGAGCCAAATTGGAGCACGTGGAGCGAGAGGCTGCCGAAGAGCTTCAAACCAAGCGGGATGACCTGCGGGTGGCTGATCAGCAGGCGGCAACGCTGCGCGCCGAGCTGGACACCGTGCAGAAGGAGGGACACCGGCACAGAGACGAACTGGAGGCTTCTCAAGCTGAGAACGCCGCGCTTAAGACAAAGGTGGAACATCTAGAAAGAGACTGCAGTAGTAAAGACACAGAGCTGAGTTCCGCGTTGTTGGATCAGACAGAATCTGTGTCAAGAGTTCGGCAGCTTGAAGAAGAGCTGCGTCAGAAGACCGCTGAGCAGCTAAGTACTCTCGCTGATAAGAGTAGTGCGGACAGCAGAATAGAAGCTCTAGAGCAAGAACTTCATCGGGGTGCTGCAGCCGTCGACTCGGCTACCTCGGAAAATGGATCCATGCAGTTACGACTACTGGAATTGGAGAAACTTCTGGAGCAGAAGACCGGTGAACTTGTAACTGTCCTCAGCGAACGAGAGGAGCGGGATGCGAAGGTACAAAGCTCGAGTGCGGCATTGCTGCAGAAGACTGCTGATGCCGAGGCCCTTGCTTCCAAGCACGCTGACCTGGAAGCAGCGCTAGCTTGCAAGACCGACGAGGCGGCGAAAGCGTCGGAAGCGCTGTGTCTGGCCCAGACGACACTGGGTGACGTGCAGACAGAGCTGCAGCGTGAACGGTCATCGGCCGAGGAGCGGGAGGTCGAGCTCGGCCGCCTGAGGGCGGAGCTGGCCGCCCAGCAGTCGGCCGCCGGCGCCGCCTCGGGCCAGCTGTCCGACCTGACGGCCGAGCGGGACGCGGCTGTTGCCCGGCTGCAGGAGCGCGACGCCCAGCTGGCCAGTGCGGAGGCCTCGGTCGCCGAGCGCGAGGCCGAGTTGGCGCGCCTGCAGGCCGAACGGGCGGAGGAGGAGGCGGGGCGCGGCGTCGAGCTCGAGGCCGCGCGCCAGCAGCTGGCCCAGGCCGACGAGCAGGCGGCCGCCTGGGAGCGCGAGCGCGTGGCGGTGGCCGAGACGCGCGACGATCTGGAGCGACGCGTCTCTGAGCTGGAGGAGCAGTTGGCAGAGAAGCAGCGTCAGTACGCGGTGGCCAGCGCCGCCAGCGTGGAGCTGGAGCGCCGGCTGGAGCAGGGCCTGGTGGACCGGCAGGAGGCGGAGCGGCGTGCCGAGCAGGCCGACATCCGACTCAAGAACGGCCAGAACGAGCTGGACACGCTGCGTGGCGCGCGCGAGCGGCTGGAGTTGGACACGCTCCGGCTCCGCGACGAGCTGAAGACGCTGACCGTAGGCAAGGTGAGCGTGGAGCGCGATCTCGACGACTGGAAGGAGAAGCTGCGCGATGCCGAGAACGAGAAGGAGCGGCTGGAGGAGAAGCAGGAGCTGACGGCCAAGGAGCTGGAGGAGTCGGAGCGCGCGCTGGAGGAGGCGCTGCGCTCGCGCAGCGACGCGGAGACCCGCCTCGAGCAGCTGGTGGGGCAGAGTGTGGAGGCGGCAGCTGAGAGCAAGCGTTTCGCTGCAGATAACGAACGACTCCAGGCGCGCGTGGAGGAGCTGGAGGGCGAGGCGAAGCGCGCCCAGGATCAGGTGACGTCGGCAGACGCCGCTTCGGAGGAGAAGCAGATCACCATCAGGACGCTCACGCTGGAGAAGCAGGTGCTCGCCGAGCGGGTGCTGCAGCTCGAAGACCGGCTGAAGACGACGCAGCTCGACCACGAGGCCACCAGTGTGAAGTTGGCGGAGCTGGAGCGGCGGAGCGCGGCCGCCAGGCCGCCGGCTGAGCCGCCGGCCGCCGGCCAGCCGGGCGACGACGCCGAGGGGCTGCGGGCCCGCCTGCTGGCGCAGGACGGCGAGCTGGTGCAGTTGCGCAGCGAGAGGGATGCGCTGCAGTGTTCGGGTGCCAAGCACAGTGCCCGCATCGGTGAGCTGGAGGCCAGCCTGGAGCAGCTGGCCGCCGAGGTGGGCCGGCTGGAACGCGGCGGCGGCGCCTCCTCGGTGTCCGCTCCGGCGCCCGGCGAGCGGCCGGTTGAGCGGCGTCAGGCGGCGGCTGTCGGCGCCGCTCCGGTCTCCGCCGCCGCCGAGCGGCCGCCGTCGCCCGGCCCGGCCGGCGCCGCCGTCTCAGAGCTGGAGGCGCTGATCGTGTCGGGTGCCCCCCGGTCCCGGGCGCCCCCCGGCGAGCAGGAGCCGCCCCGCAGCGAGGCTGAACACCTGCAGCGCCAGCTGACGGAGCTGGCCGAGCGCAGTGAGGTGGAGCGGCGGCGGCTGCAGGAGCAGTTGGATGCCGAGCGAGCCAAGAACACGTGAGTCCGCCGGGCGCCGCTGGCGTCGCCACTGCGTGTCTCGTGTGGTCGCGCCCCCGCTGAGGTGGCCATCGGCTGCCGTCGCTGGTCTGCAGTGCCCGGCTCGACGCCCAGCCTGCGGCGCTCTGCCTGCCGGGCCTGGTCATTGTTCCAACTCGCTTCGCTTACTAACCTTGCGTGCTGTCGAGTTCAGCCGCGCCAGGTTGTTGACAGCGGATGAGCGTATGTCTCATTCGCCGGATTCTTGGGTGCCACTGTTGCATGATTTAGATATTTTGCTGCCAACTAAATGGTGACGCTGTAATGCATGCAGGCCATACGGCTTCAGTTTTATTCAGCTGGTATGCTTCAAACGTGAAATGATAACAGCAACATCTGGTCGTGGTTATCCGGCCAGCTGGTATTCCTTTGCCGTCTTTATTCCTCTTCCTGATTGACCCTGTTTTCTTGATGCCTGGCTTCTGCCCTCCCATCAGCGCTGGTGGTCTCGAATGGGGTCATTTCTGTCCAACACGTTGCCAGTTTGTGCGGAAAGTTATTTCAAAAGCTAGCCGGCCCGAAATTTCACTGACGCAGAGCTAATGCCAAGCTGCCAGCTTGATTAACTAGCTGAGGGAGCGGTACCGATTTTCAATAAGTACAGCTTCCAGGCACGTGCAGCAAAAAGGAGGCATGCATGCCAAATGCGACAGCTGAGACGATTCCCTAAAAGGGACGTTAGCGAAGACACTCATTCAGACTGGCACTCCAGCGGTCGCGCCGGGGCTTCTGGTCATACCGTTGTTGTGTCAGCGCTGTTGTTGGCTGCGTGACTAACTCCTGCCGTTGAAGCCGATAATTCTGGCCTCAAATCTTCCGTCAACTGGCTTATTCACTGACTCCGAACACATTTGGTATGCGTGCCCCCACCCCCAACCCTCACCCCACCCCACCCCACCCCAACCGATGCACGATCACTGGTCGATGGTGGCGTGGTAAAACGAAACGAGCCGTCACATGGGATGAGCGCATGATGGCCTCGCCAGAGTTCGCGTCGTGTTCAGTGTGCCGCCGTCCCGGCAGTGCGTCTCTGGACGAGAGCAGCCGCCTCCTGGTGAAGAGCGTCACGGAGGACTTTGAGCAGCGGCTGCGCGAGCAGGAGCAGGGCCACCAGCGACAGCTCCAGCAGCTCATGGGTCCGTACCACCGCCGCCGCTGCGCTCAGCAACAGTGGCGCAGGCTGACACCCAGTGATTGGGCGAGAGCCGGCAATGCCTCCTTTTGTCTTGCGTCCTGCATATGTGCGTGAATTGGTGACTCTTGCTGGAAAAGTAATGTACGACTACCTGTCCCCAGTATTGCGCAGGTGCTGATGTGTGTGTGTGTGCGTGTGCGTGTGCGTCCGCATGCGTGTGTATGTGCGCGCGCGTGCGTGCGTGCGGTGTGGAATGTCGTCTGACAGTAGCTCACTGCGCCGTAACCGTGGCCGGCCCTCAGGCAAGGCGGAGCACCACGAGGGCTACCTGACTCAACAGCACCGGGACCGCGTGCGCTCCCTCTACCGAGAGATCGACGACAAGGTGGAGGCCATCGACCTGACGCGCTCCCAGCTGAAGGTGAGGCGTTGCCCGAGCCGGTCGGCCGTCCTGCTGTCCTGCCTTCCTGCCTCCCTGCCTCCCTGCCTTCCTGCCTTCCTGCCTCCCTGCCTCCCTGCGCCGGCCGTCCTGTCGTCCTGCACCGACCGCCCTGCCGTTCTGCGCCGGCCGTCCTACCGCCCTGTGCCAGCCGTTCTGCCGTCTTCCGTCCTGCGCCGGCCATCCTGCCGTCCTGCGCCTGCCGCCTGGCCGTCCTGCGCTGGCCGTCTGCCATCCTGCGCCGGTTGTCCTGCAGTCCTGCACCAACTGTTTGTCGTCCTACGCCGGCCGTCTCGTCCCGCGCCGGCTGTCCGTCGTCCTGCGCCGGCCGTCTGCCGCCATGCCGGCGTGACGCCACCGCCGTCGGCCCGGCCTGTGATCGCCTGCTCGCTCAGGCTACGTCGGCAACGTTGCATCGTTGTCCCATCACCGAGTGGTGCTTCTCTGAATGTTGGCTCGGGGGCGATGCTCACTGTGCAGTGCGAAGGCGCTCACTGCATCATTCGATGCGTTCTGACTGTCTCTGCTGGACAGCGCCACCCCGCCAGGATGCGTGCCCGTTGCTTGTGATGTGCCGGGCGCGGTCGGCCGGCCGCCGGGGCAAACGTGGAGGGTTGCTGACAGTGTGCGGTGGGCCCGCAGGACCGCGAGGGCCAGCTGAAGACGCTGCGGGACGACTACGAGCGCCAGCTGGAGCAGATGCGGGACCAGTTCTCCACCCAGCTGGAGGAGACTGTGCAGCGCGCCTCGCAGCAGCGGCTGGAGAAGCTGGAGCAGGAGCTGCAGGCTGAGCGACAGGTGATCCCTCCCCCCCCCCCCCCCCCTCCCCTTGGCCTGTCACGCTGCTCGGATGGACTCTGTTGCGTCCGTTTTGCGACTGGCGTCGTTTTTTGGATCTCACTTATTTTGTCTGAACTTCTCCCTTCCCTCCTCCTAACTCTGTGGTCAGATGTTACTTGCCGTGCTGGCCTGGCCTCCCACTGATGCCTTCTCGGAATGCAGCGTGTTTTTGTCTGATATGGCGTTTGCGGTCAGCGTGCAAACAGTAGCCGGCTCTCTAGTGTTGTACTGAACTGTCGTTTGCTGTGATCCCAATAACACTGGCCCGCCTCAGCGCTGAGGGATGGTCGTTGATCGTTGGACTGTCGTTTCTGTGGTCCCAATATTACTGGCCCGCCTCAGCGCTGAGGGCTGGCCGCTGGTCGTTGGACTGTCGTTTGCTGTGATCCCAATAACACTGGCTGCCTCAGCGCTGAGGGCTCGCCGCTGACCGTGTCCCGTTGTTTCCGTTTTGTAGCTCGCGGAGGAGGCGTCGCAGACTGAACAGGTGCGTGGCCCGTCTGCTCTGGGATGCTGCGCATGCGCACCATCCTACTGTGCAACACACGGCTGTACTCGCCGACCGTAGGGCTTGGCTGACCGATAAGAGGACGGCAACTTAGGAAGCGCTCTGAAACCGTCTGTGGCTCTTTGCCATGGGGACCCAGTAACCCAGCTGGGGAGAGTACTCCCGTCCGAGTGGTCTCGGGTTTTAGTTTTGGTCAGTGTGCGTTAAGTCAGCTCTAATTCATCCATGTGTCCTACCCTGTGTACCTGCAGCAGCCTGGCACTGTACGACGTTACCTCAACCCCGACGGCTCGCCTTCGCTCGCATCAATGGCATGGGATTCTATCTGATTAATGGCATTACTGACGGCAGTACATCATTGATGGCGCGGGGCAACAGCAGGGTATAGCCACATTTGAGCGGGAACTCCAAATGTCTGAAGTGTCGTTTGCCACATTATCATCCCAAGGAACCGAAGGAGAATGTTGCCTTTAACCCAACCTCACGCAATGCACGTTGTACAAGTCTGCGCCGTGCCGCAACTCTGCACTGTGTGGGAGTATTGCTTCGGACCCTCGGCGAGTGGGCCGCCTGTGACCCGTGAGTGACCTCTGGCGGCCATGTGATGGACGCGTGACCCCGGCACCTGAGCGATGACGCCCTGCGGTGACGCCCCCTCCACCCGCCAGCGGCTGGAGGACACCAGCCGGGTGGCGGCCGCCGCTGTCGAGACGGGCACCACCAGCCTGGAGACCATCCGCAGGCAGGTGCTGGCCCAGCACAAGCAGATCGAGCAGATGCGCAAGAAGCACAAGTGAGTCCGGCCGCACCGGCCGCTGATGAGTCTCTCCTGTGAGGCGCTGATGTGACCGCTGACGACAGTCTCTCCCGCGTGTCGGTGATGTGACCGCTGATGACAGTCCCGTCTGTGGGTCGGTGATGTGACCGCTGATGACAGTCCCGTCTGTGGGTCGGTGATGTGACCGCTGACGACAGTCCCGTCTGTGGGTCGGTGATGTGACCGCTGACGACAGTCCCGTCTATGGGTCGGTGATGTGACCGCTGATGACAGTCCCGTCTGTGGGTCGGTGATGTGACCGCTGACGACAGTCCCGTCTGTGGGTCGGTGATGTGACCGCTGATGACAGCCCCTCCTGTGGGTCGGTGGTGCGACCGGCGCCGGCCGTCGGTGACAGTCCCTCTTGTGGGTCGGTGATGTGACCGCTGATGACAGTCCCGCCTGTGGGGCGGTGGTGTGACCGGTGCCGGCCGTCGGTGACAGTCCCTCTTGTGGGTCGGTGATGTGACCGCTGATGACAGTCCCGCCTGTGGGGCGGTGGTGTGACCGGCGCCGGCCGTCGGTGACAGTCCCGCCTGTGGGGCGGTGGTGTGACCGGCACCGACCGCTGATGACAGTCCCTCCTGTGGGTGGGTGGTGTGACCGGCGCCGGCTGTCGGTGACAGCCCCTCCTGTGGGTCGGTGGTGTGACCGGCGCCGGCTGTCGGTGACAGCCCCTCTTGTGGGTCGTTGATGTGACAGCTGATGACAGTCCCTCCTGTGGGTCGGTGGTGTGACCGGCGCCGGCTGTCGGTGACAGCCCCTCCTGTGGGTCGGTGGTGTGACCGGCGCCGGCTGTCGGTGACAGCCCCTCCTGTGGGTCGGTGATGTGACCTATGGGTCGGTGACATGACCGCTAGTTGGCGTGAGCCGTCGCAAGCGGCGCGTGCCGTCGAACCCAAGGCCTCGCGGTGCGGCCGCGCCGGCCGCCGGGGCGACGCGCGTGCGCGGCAGCCGCTCTGGGTGTGGTGGTCTGGGTGGCTGCTGACGTACCATAAAGCCTGCTAAGGAAATTGACGCGGACGTTTCCTTGGGGCCACGGAAACGTTCACGTCCACCCGGGTCTGGTAGACGACAGATGTCGTACTGTCAGCGTGTCATGTGTGTCAGCATGCCATGTGCGTCACGTGCAGCCGGTGTCCGGCAGACGCGAGGTGGCGGAGCTGCGGCGGCTGCTGGAGCTGCGTGCTGCGCCGCCGGCGCACGGCCAGCCCGGGCTCGACCCCGACACCGAGCTCGAGTACCTCAGGAACATCCTCTTCGAGTACATGATGGGCAAGGAGCCGCTGGTGAGCTCGCCGCGCGCGCTACCCGGCCACCAACTTGGATGGCTGAGATGCCGCAAATTTCAGTAGTGGCTGGTGGGTGCTTGGGGAAATTGAGCGATACTGATTAAACTAGGCGGAGCAGCCGCGACCACCTTCAAACAGTGTCCTGCTCTGGCGATCGGGACGGCGTCACGTCTCCACGAACGTCACCAGCACGTGGTCTGAGGGAATGGCGTGGTGAAGCAGCCGCGCGGCCGCGAGGGCCGGTTAGATGTTGATGATACATCTATTGGCGCGCTCCATTTGTATGGCAACCGTGAAAGCCATGGTTTCCAGATGTGAAATCCATTCCATATTGTTAGGTGCACTGATGTGGGGTGGCATGACATCTGCCGTCGTTTGTGCAGACGCTGGCCAAGGTGATCGCGGCGGTGCTGAAGTTCAGCTCGGACCAGACGGAGAAGGTGCTGGAGAGGGAAGAACACCGCCAGTCGGCGGTGAGTGCCACCTGACACTGGTCAGATGAACCTGCACTGGCCTGTGACGCCGATGCACGCATGCTTACGGTGGTGTCAGATGGTGCCGCCTGTGTAGTTCTAGCCGGGCCGCGCCAACACCACTTCCGGCTTGAAGGGGCGGAAAGTAGGTCATACCAGCGAAATTCAACTGAAGTGGGGATGTTTCTGACTCGACAGAGGCATCGGCAGGCGTCTTGCGATGTTCTTGGGATATTTCGTGCGGCTATAAATGCAGGCCGCCGCTCCGAGGCTCCGTCTTGCATCTCCGGCCTCCTGCCGCGCAGCCAGTGGCAACGTTCCCGAGCCGCGTCACGTGCTCCATCTTAGGACCAGCCTCCGGCTCGAGTTCCCAGGCCGGCATTCCGACCTCGCCTGCGCGGCTTACAGCGTTGACAGCCATCGGCGTGTCGCACGGCGGTAACAGCTGCCCATGCGTGGGACGAGAGCCGTCTGCGTGTGGTGTGGCAGCCGCAGCAGCCGCCGGTGTGCCGGGCGGCAGCTGCGACCTCGGTCGGTGTGTGTGGACGTCAGTGACGCGGACGCTGTCGTCCCGTGCCGCCGGCGGCGGCTGCCCGTGACCTGCTCGCCCGTGTTTCAGGGCGCGTTTGGCCGCACCCGCATCTGAGGCCGGCCGCCGCTGTAGGTGGTGACCCCGCCCTCCGGGGCTTTGTCCGGGTGTGCGTGTGTGGGTCAGGTTGGCCTTTGTCGGGTGTGTGTGTGTGTGTGTCCGGGTCTGCTCTGGTCTGACGTGGTTTCATCTCGGGTCTGGCGTGACGCCACCTCCGTCTTCGGTCGCAGTCTGGTGCCGTTGTAACGCCACCTCAGCGGCGCGTTCTGCCCGCGCGGGCGGACGCCTGTTCCTCGGGGCGTGCCGTGCGGGGTGCTCTGGGAGCCGCCGAGCCAGCTGACGTTCTGGGGACCTGAGCACCCTCAGCCTGTGTCGGCCAGACGTGTGCCGTGCATCACGGGGTGTGTGGGCGCTTGGTGCAGCATGCTGCCGCGCGGGATCGGCGCGTCGTTCATGCCGTGATCATTTCGGCCGAGCCGGGCTGAGGCAATGGCGGGGCAGCAGCGCGCGCTCCAGCCGTGGGCAGCACAGTGCCTGGCTGTGACGTGGGGCGGCGCGCCACCTCTGCTGGGCTCCGGGGCACGGGCCCGAGCTGACACGCACTCTCGCCGCCTGCTCCAGCAGCCGGAGGTGCCGCCGTCCGAGGAGCCCGTCACGTGCACGTGACGCCGGTGACAGGTGGTGTACGCGTGCCGTGTGTCCCGTGACGAAACCATCCCTGTGCTGCCGCGCATGCCAGTTGCAGTCCGTCCGTCCAGTGTCCGTGTGGGGAAAGTCCCGTGGCCAGCTAGGATGAGCTTGGCGGACGTTGTGGGACTGGCTCGCAGCTTGCGGCCAGCTGTGAGGACTGGCGTTTTATGATAACAGATTGAGATTTAGAGTGCGGCTGTCTGCAGACACTAACCACGTTTAAATATTCGGCAGTCTTGAGCTGGCAATTGTATTTTAATCACTTGAACTTTGAATTATAACTAAGCTTGACTCAGCTGTTTGCTCCAGTGGACCTAACACTAATCCCAGGTATGTCCTGAGCTCAGGGTAACTGGACCACCTGTATCCAACTAAACAGTCCGAATCGCTCCGACTTGACTCGATCTGACCCGAGCATAGCGCTGTGCAAACTGAAACCGCAGCTCTCCCGCTTTCTCCTGATACCTTCTGCAGCTAGCAGCCGGCGGCTTACTGTGTGCTCATACGGCAGTCCAAGGTGTCGTGCTGTCCTGTGCTGTCGAGTGATGACCCGCCGCGTTCGTGTGTGTCGTCCGCCGGCGGGCGCGCCCGGGCCGCGGCACGCTGCGCGGCCGCCCCCGCCGCGTGCTGACGCCGCCGCCGTGCTGCCCGCAGGCGGCGCCCGGCCTGGCCGCGGTCGGCTCCACCCTGGACACGGTCCGGTCGGCCCTCTCGCCCTTCAGGTGGCGGTAGCCGGGCCGCCGCCGGCAGCCGGCGCCATGTGATTCATTAGCTGTGGACGGCACGTTTGGATCGTCACGGACGCTGGGCGGCACAGCGTGCGCTCGCGACCTCTGCTACCAGCTGTGTGGCTGAGGCGCAGCCGTTGAAGGCGAGGCGCTTGCCCCGGCCCTGTGACGCCCCTCCCCTCGCCCCGCCCCGTCACCTCCGACCCGGCGGCGGACGGCTGGTCACCTCCGCGATTAAGTGTTCCGATTGTCTGCGTTATCATCGAGCTTAGGCTCCCGGCTGATTTGATAAGGCTTGTCCTCTCTCCTAAGCTAGTCAAGTGGTGCTGGTTTTGGGCGCTCTGGTGTCCCTCGTCCATGTGCTTTATTGAATGTGATCACGAATGAGGGTAGTGATTTGTGGTGGAATGCACTAGTCCACGGCTTGTTTTGAATACACCTATGCAGGACGTGGATCGTGGTGTTGAGCCTGTCAGCCTGCGTGCCCGCGGGGCGTCGTTGGTGCCGAGATGCCGGGCCAGGCTGTTCCGAGCCTCCGACATGTGAACACTCATCATACAACGGTTCGTCGCAGCAGATTTACTACCGCCCGGCCGGCACTGGAAGATCATTTGGTGTTTTCATGAATGCCGCAGTTTTTGCCGGGGATGGGTGCCATTACTTGATGCTGTTGGTAAACACACACTGGGGCGTGACCTGGAAGACTTTCCGTTGACGCAACGCGACATGCATTGACTGACTAGGTATCAAACTCCCCAACTCTGCTCCAATTAGCAGTTTGAGCTCGAACGTGGTTGAATGGCGAGAGCTAACCCTACACATGAAAGGGGTGGATATCTCGCATGTCACCGGGAACAGCATTTACCGACCCACTCATCTGATGTTTAGACTGCACAACATGACTCGGGCACAAGCTGGAAAAGCTTTCCATAATTGCAGCACCACGGGGCTTGTGATCAGTTTCTTTCCACGTCCCAACCTGAGCTCCGTGCTAAGTGTTCACATATGATGGTGCGGGATGGAATCCGAGTTCTGAAAGCCCTCATGACGCAACATTATGACTGTTGCTTCCGCGGTTTCAAGGTCAGGATGAACAGAGGCGCGTGCCTGCCCACTTCTCCCGAGCGCGCTCGGTCACACGTGACGGCACCTCGAGAGCCGCACCTGATCCTGAGCCCATAGAGTAAACAATTTATCAACAGCACCGTGCCCGTGCGCCGGGGCTTTAGGGCGCACCGACTGTACGGCCACGCACCTACCCGTGCGCCGGGGCTTTAGAACGCATCGACTGTACGGCCACGCACCTACCCGTGCGTCGGAGGCCCAATACGCAGGCAACCTCGCGACGCATCTGGGACCTCGCCGCCAGCAGGGACGGGGCTGGCGGCGGTGGCCCGGCTCGCTCCAACGGGGGGGGGGGGGGGCCTCCCCGTCACGGTCTTCTCGGCCTCGTCTCGTCGCTGGTGACTGACCGAATCTTTTCATTGGTCGGCCTCGTCGCTGGTGACTGGTAGAATCTCTTCATTGATCGGTATGACGGGCCATGGCCAAGAGCCAATCACGCGCGCCGGCTCCGCTGAGCGGCGGCCGTCCAAACAGACCCTGGATCGGGCGGGAACAGCAGTGGGTGGAGGCGGAAGCGAACGCAGTGAGACGATGTAACAGTGACGCTGGCAGCCCCGTGTTTGCACAAGAGGTGCCGATTGGATTCTAAATCTTAAGAACTCCAGAGCATCAGCATTCTTATTTGGCAATTGGACGGACCTGGATAGACGTTCGGAGTTTTGTGGACAGCCGATGGCATTCTGTCTGGTCGATTTGTATGAACCTCAGCTTATTTATTGCGGACATACATTGCTTACCCACGATCATTTTAAACACAAGTGCAATCCGCAGCTCCGTCGCTTTCCTCCGACGGAGAGTGCCGGGGCGAAGCAAGCTCTCCGTTGGAGAACTCTATTTTCTCGTTTTCTGTAAATCCGGCCCCGCAAGGAATTGTCCACAAACTGTGAATAGAGTGCATATTGTCTGCCATTATTGTTCCGTCATGAGTGCCATGCAGATGAAACCTTCTGCCTATTTAATAGCAAAGTTTGATGCTCTCGTGGCCCGGGGTTCGATTAAGGAGCTTGCTGCGGAACGGGAGCGAACTGCACTGCAGCACCGGTACACGGCCGGACACTGGTGTGCGCGGCCCTCGTAGCGCCCACATTAAAGTCAACCACGTGCAAAAAAATATTTCAGCCTTCAAGTCGAAGAGCTTACAACACGAAGCACTTCGTGATATTCAGCAAATCGCTCACTAACCCGGCGCTCATGAGTGCACCGCAAACAGGCGGCGCAACACACACCGTAAACCAGCCGCTGGGTCTTGTGGAGCGACCACGCACCACTCTCTGTAAGGAACCCCGGCTCCTAACCGCCAGCCCATGAACGATGCGACAAGTCGGACTGTTGAGTGTTCCTGATGAGTTTGACCGTGTGGCGAGCGGCGGTCCCAACGCACCCGCGCGCCGCCCGGCAGTCCGCGTCCGGGGTCGGACGCCGTCGGTAGCGGGTCGGACTGCGCTCTCCGGGGCGGAGGCGACGGCAGTCATGGAGCTCGTGCTGCTGCCCGTGCTGCTGGTCGTTCTGCTGCTGGTTCTGCTGTACAAGTATGGTACACGCAACTACGGCACGCTGGAGAAGCTCGGCATCCCCGTCGTCAAGCCGTACCCGTTCGTGGGCAGCGTGCGGTACCCCGCCCGCACCTCCACCGACCAGGAGGACATGCGCAACGCCAAGCGCTTTGGCAAGGTCTGGGGCGTGTACGAAGGCCCGTGGCCGCAGGTGTTTGTGGCTGACGCGGAGCTGGCCAAGCGGATCTTAATCAAAGACTTTGACCACTTCCCCGACCGGCCGATCCTGTTCGACATTCCGTACGGCCGTGACATGCTTGACATGAAGCCGGGAGAGCAGTGGAAGATGCTCAGGTCCATGCTCGCTCCTGCGCTGGCCTCCGGTGTCAAGCTCAAGGCCATGATGCCCACAATGGTTGAGTGCGCTCAGCAGGCATTCCACAGAATGGAAGCGAAGATGCGTCAGACCTCAGTGCTGTCGATGCGAGAGGACCTGTTCGGCCCGCTGACGCTGGACATCATGGCCCAGTTCTCCTTTGGCATCAAGGTGCCCAACGTCGCAGACACAAGTAGCACGTTCGTCAAGTACGCATCGGCTTTCAGCGCCCAGGGAGACACCCCAGACACGTGGATGACAACGCTGATGACCTCGTTCCCCAGCATCGCCAACTACATGATGGGCAGGGAGCTGGTTCCCGCATTCAAGTACTTCCTGAACCTGGTGCGCAGCTCCATCAAGCAACGGCGCGCCGAAGGCGTCGAGCGCCCAGACCTGATTGGCGCACTGATGGACGCCATCGACAAGAAGGTGCCGACGCCCGAGTGTCGCAGGCTCAACATCACCGAAGAACTCGTCATGCTGCAGGGCGCCGAGATGCTGATGGCCGCCTACGACACCATTGGCACTACGCTCACCATCACCTCCTACTTCCTCGCCAAGAACCCGGACGTCGCCGCCCGCATCGCCGAAGAGGCAGCCG